CTGCAGCTGGAGAATGGTCCGCTGTGTATATATCATCTTTATTTATCTGCTGATAAACTCCATACATTTCTAAACCACCCTAAATGCCCTGTTTTAAAACTTACAAAGAAGGGGATGAGGTGATCTGATTAGTTGAAGCCCAAGCCTCCAGTGGCCCATACCTTTTCAATCAACCTTGAAATGCCAGCGCATCTCAGTGCTCATCCCCGTATCAGCTGTGCTAAGCAGCCATCTTTGCTTCTTCCATTCCTCTTTGCCTGTGTCTATGTTGGTGAGTTGGTTTGGGAGCATAAGAAGCTGGAATACAATCTGTCTGACTCAACTTTGGGTCAGAAAACCGTGCCCTTCCATCATTAAGACTCCATAACTCTCACTTCTATTCTCCACTTCTATCTTTCCTGAGTCCCAGGCCCAGCATTGTCCTTTACACTGCTGTCCTGGTTTTCCAGTATTTTCTTCAGCTAAACTCACCCTGGTGGTCACACTTTACATTATGTTTATCATACCAATGGTTTTACTGTTCTTTTTGGTATTTTCATTTCATTGCTTTAATGTCACCTCTTGCCTATGTCTGTAGCCAGTATCATCTTCATTTATGTCTTTATGAATATTGATGTCTTATTTTATTTTCCTGGTCAGCACTTTCCAATGATTTTGTGCACTTCTGATTTTTATCTTTCTGATGAGCTGATTGCGATCTCCTAAGCCCTCTCCTAATCCAGGCAGTGAGCCTGCTCTATTTGGATGCATTTCCCTCAGCCTGGTTACCTCTGCCGAGTCCTGCTCCAGGGCCCTCCTGGGGAGCCAAAGCAAGGGCAGAAAATGAGCCTGGGCAAGGAGTTAACCTGTCCCCAGAGGCCCGAGAATGAGGATGGCCATATGGCACTACCCACCAGGAAACTCTCAATTTCTGGAGTGCAGCCCAGAGCAAGGACAATCCTGTTGAAGGAAGACACCAGCCTAGGAGCAGAAGGGCTGGGGCAGGGCCAGAGCGGTTAGAGTTTGAGAGAGCTCTTATAGCCACATGTGTTCTCCCTGCTGTGATGAAGTAGCGGGTCTCTGCCCATGTTCTAAGTTCCCCTTTACTCTTACTGCCCCATGTTCAAGGCCCTGTACCAGGCAGGTGCAGATGCCCTTATACAGATAGCTGTGACCCTCTTTTACCTTCCAGCCCGGCTATAGGGACCTATGAACTACTTGATATACCCTGCAAATGCTATGGGTATGGGTGTTCATGTTTGTTGAAAAGAAAGCCCACAGTGTCTTCAGATTCTCACAGAGCCCCCATGAGCAAGGAAAAAATGTATCAGTGGAGACACAGGACAGTACAGGATGAAGAATGTGGAAGGTAAAGTGCGAGAATTACAAAGGACACTGCTGACCAAGGGAAAGCTGTTGTCAGCTGTCTCTCACAATAGATCGCGGTGTATTCCCCAGACCATAAAACATCCCACAGAACACCAGTGTACAACGCCATCACTCTATTATAACACACAAAATCATTCTCATACCATGTCTACACGTACATGAATAAAAACACTCTGTGAACCGCAGACTGGTTCACAAAATGCCCCTCTCCTGCTTACCAGGAACACCTGCTTTGTTCTGTTTTTCTCATCTGCTACACAAAATTAAGATGCACAACCATGCAGCTGCTCTGCTTCTTGACAGCGACCTACACAGTATAGACCTTTTGTTCTTTAAGTTTCCCCCAAAAATCACCTAACACAAAACCAGATCCCCTACAAATTTTCTCTTGACAAACTGCTACAATGAAATCCTACAGGAAAAGGAAACTGAAACTTAAAAACAATCAATTCTGTTTGACTGTAACCATGTTCCTGATGGTATTTGCTTAGAGGGTGATGACCTTCCCATTCAGTGCCTTTATTTCACTCACAGCAATGCTAGGCAAAAGAGAATGAAGTTCAAGGTCTTATTTTCATAGATGTAAAAACATATTCAACCAAGATATATAAACTCACAGTCATGAGTCAAAGCCAAGCCTTCTAGTTTCAAATCTCAAGCTGCCTCTCCAAAATAGTACCAGCCACAAATTCTGCTTCCAAGTTGAGTAGACTATGCTACAGTCATCCTACAAAGAAGGACGGCTCCTATGCAAGCAAGCATCATGGTGAACCATGCTGTGGGCAATGAGGGTAACCTGTTGAGGGCACCACTCCACAGGCAAGGCAATGGAACCCTCCTTCACAGAAGAGAGACTGAGGCTCTGAAAGCAGAAGAACCTGGCCAATGCTGCTCAACTAGGAAGCCGCACAACTAAAATTCCACTCAGACTATGGAAGCAGGGTTAAGGGAGGAGGCAGACTTCCTGCAAATCACAGAGGCTGTTGTATCTGCAGGTTTTTAGGGTGAGGTGGATTTCTTGTGGGGGTGCCAGAGTGGAGGAAGCACAGAAAACTCCCAGAATCCAGAGCGAATACGTGCAGTGGGCTTATCTGTAGGGTAGGGGCAGTGCAGGTGATCAGGAGCTGATGTACCTAAAGAAGGGCCTGCCATGGCAGGAAAGACTTGTCCGAGACTTTGTTCTGTTTTGCTCATCTGCTACACAAAATTAAGATGCACAACCATGCAGCTGCTCTGCTTCTTGACAGCGACCTACACAGTATAGACCTTTTGTTCTTTAAGTTTCCCCCAAAAATCACCTAACACAAAACCCCTGGTGTCTTCCTTCAACAGGATTGTCCTTGCTCTGGGCTGCACTCCAGAAATTGAGAGTTTCCTGGTGGGTAGTGCCACATGGCCATCCTCATTCTCGGGCCTCTGGGGACAGGTTAACTCCTTGCCCAGGCTCATTTTCTGCCCTTGCTTTGGCTCCCCAGAGAGCAGGACAGTGCTTGTAGCTGGTTAGCACTCGGCGCTGTAGGTCAACTGTCAAACTGATTTTCCACCCAGACATCCAGCCCCGCAGTTCAGGTCCAGGACATTTCAGGGTCTGGAGGGCAGTTTCCTGACCTCTGGTTTAAGTGTGTAATAAAAGCAAACACTGTGATCAAAGACAGTACCTCCAGCAAGACCTGACCTCAGCTACTTCACCTCACCTACTGCCACAGGAATAGGAGCAGGAGCAGGAGTAAGAGCAAGAGCAGGAGTAAGTGCGGGAGCAGGAGCAGGCGCAGGAGCAGGGAGAAGCTCTGGTTACTAAAGAGAACTAAGAAAGATACCTGCTGCCTTTCCTAGACCAAAGATCTGCTGATGACCATCATTGTTTTAGCCATGTGGATGTCTGCCACCATGGACATTTTTCAGACCTGGAGGATAGGTTTACAGCAAGTGGGGAAACCAGATCCTTCACATGCCAAGGAGAGTCTAGTTGGAAAGAACCCAGATGAGCATGGCACTCATATTCCTTCTTGTATTCAGAGGCCTCCACTGCATCCTATTCCATTCCCCAGAGGCTCTACATGATGTTTTCACAGTGGGTTCCCTCAACTCCCAAGCTAACATGGCTCTTTCATAACAGCTACTATAGCTCGGATTTGGGACATTTTCAAAAAGTCTATGTGTTAAACATTTGGTCCCCAGCCTGTGGAACTACTGGGAAGTGGCAGAACTTTAACAAGTGTTAAAGGTCACGGGAAGCACTGTCCTCCAAGGGGATGGTAGGACCCAGATCTTATCCTCTGTCTGATCAGGAGTTGGAGAGCTTCCTCTGCCACAGGCTCTGGGCATGATGTGCTGCCTGATCACAGGCTCCAAAGCGTCAGGCCAACCGAACTAGGCTAAAACCTTCTAAACTGGGAACCAAAATAAAACATTCCACTTTATAAACTGCTTCTCTCAGGGTTGTGGTTGTTGCTTGCTTACTTTGTTTTGTTTACAGTAAAGAAAAGCTGACTGACTGAAAATACATCTATATTAGTAATATTCAGAATGGAATGAATTTTGTTTCCTTAAGGTATTGCTCCATTCCTTCTATATCGTCCCAGCTGACCACTGCAACAGAATTCAAGCTATTTGCCCACAGAGCTCCATTATATTCTCTCCCAGTTGCTGTTCTTTTGCCTTTTCTCTGCTGTAAGTGAAGAGCCCTAGATATTCAAATCAGAACCCTGTGTGCCCACCACAACCTTGCCTCACTCACTTCATATCCAACCATTTCCCAAGCTCAGTCATTTACACCTCCTAGCTGTTTCTTGATCCATTTGCCATTTCCCTCGTTCAGTCACTCTCGCCTGCCTCTGGGTGGTCCATCCTTCCTTATAGGCCTGCTTTTCTGCATATGAATTATCATATGGATGTAGTGAATGTGAGAGGAAATAAAGCAAACTAAAGGCCAGAGAACATCTGGGTAAGATCAAGACAGGTCTCTCTGACATGGGAATATTTAATAGAAGAGCAGATGCTCCCTGCAATGCACTGCAGGATGGAGGATGGCCAGAGACTGAGATATCAAGCATAGAGTATGAGGTAGGATCACCATCAGGTGTCAGCGGTAGCAAGAGGTCTTCTGAGTTTTCATGGCTGAGTGTGTACACATATGTGCGAGTCTGTGTGTACAGTTGGTGTGCACAAGCAGGTGTGTGCATCGGTGCATAACGAAAGGAAAGTAAGGATCGTGACTTCCCAATTGAACCTACTTCAAATCGTGGTAGCTCAGCAGTGAGAACTGGCAAATTAAATGGCATTTGAAGGAAGCACCATGTTGCTTTAAAGCACATGATCACCCAACACTGTGCTGCATGGCCCTGGAGAACACCTCCAAGAAGGGTTTAATGGCCTTATAAGATGTTGTTTATTAGTCAGGTGTGGTGGTATACACCTGTAATCCCAGCATTCTGGAAGGCTGAGTCAAGAGGATCGCTAGTTTTAGTCTAGCCTTAGAAACTAGACTGTACCAAAATAGAAAAAAAAAATTTCAAAAGGGGCTAGCTATGTAGCTCAGTGTGCAGGCCCTGGTTTAATCCTAATACAATGAAAGTTGCTCATTTGTTGTTTATTAACCTGGGACTGAAGGTCATGGCTGGATACTGTTGCACAAAGCTGGTTGCTGAATTCAGCCTCCTCCTGCACCTTGTGCCATCTGCCAGAGTCCCAGGCTGGGGAGTCAGCTTCCCTGTCACAGAGTCCCTGCTGTGCAGCAGCTCCATTTGTAAGTAATTTAAATCATTTCTGGGGATTGGATCTGGGGTTTTGGATCAGGAGATTAGGCTTTTGAATCTGGAAGCTACAGAAATCGTGTTGAAAGTGACTTTTCCCTGCTTATGCTGGTGTACCGGGGAGTCTCCTTAATTACTTATCTGCAAAGAACACTATCTTTGTTTCCAAGCAGAGCTATGGAGCATTAGACCCATGCGACCGGCCTGCTAAGGTTTCCTAGGAAGAGCTGGAAGATAGCTTTGAAGGCCGGGTGAAACATTAAGACTGAGAAACGAGGGAGGGATAGCAGGAAGGCTGGCTAATTGCCAGTGATTTTTACTCATAAAATACAGGGAATAGCAGGAGATAGAGAAGGATCTAACTCTGATGGGCCAATGTATTGAAAAATTTCTAGAGAAAATGCACTCTTTGGCAACATGGGGAAGAATTCACCAAGAACTCTGTTCAGATTTATTCTGGGCTCAACTAGTAACTCATACATAGCTTGATCTCAGGCCAAGACCGGATTCTGTCTCTCTAGATAAGCAGCTCAGTGCTTGTACTGAGTAAATGGCAGTAAACTGGCCATGGATAGAAACTATCTGCTCAGATGTAAAAGAGGGATTTGGGATTACCGGTGGGCCCCAAGGGGGCAAGGAGAGAGAGAGGGAGATTTGGCAAAGACCCGTGTCTCCATCCACTCTTACATCCTATGCCAACAGGCACAAGTGAGCTGAAGCTAAGTGCTTTTGCTCTCGCTCTCATGGGAAGCATATTCACAACCTTCCAGTAGCAACACTGGAGGCCTGGGCAGTGATGACAACCTCACAAATATCACCACTGCATTTACTGTGCATAGTTTTGTTAAAATACTAATCACACAATGACACAAGGAATATTTACTTTTCCAAGTAACCTGTCTGGAGGCTATGAATGGTTCATGCTTTTCTACATTGTCTGTGCCCAAGTTATAGGACAGAGGGCATGTTTGGCAACTATGTGTTGATTAACAAGGGGATAAAATAGCCTCTCTTGGCTTTTCCCACACCAAGGTGAGGACCATGTCCCTGCTTTCATCGCTTCTTCTCCTTCTCCTGAGTGTGCTGACACTGCATGCAGAAAGTGTGCCCAGTGAGGATGCCCGAACCTGCCCTGTGATTGCCTGTGCTTCTCCAGGACTGAATGGCTTCCCAGGCAAAGACGGACATGATGGTGCCAAGGGAGAAAAAGGAGAACCAGGTACCAGTTGGGCTCTTCTTTCTCTGTGACTCTTTACTTTCCAGAAGAAACTGGCTGGAGAGATGTGGAGAATAATATCTTATTCTCCAAAATAAGAAGACTGTAGGCTGTATGTTTCTCAGTGATATACTACAAATCAAAGCAGAGATAGAGTGCCCATTCTCTGGCATCGCAGATTTCCACACAGCGTTTTATGACATCTTCTGTCTGGCCTGTTCAGGAAAGTGGCCCTCAGAGCAGCCTCTTGTATGGGACACAGAAGGGTTATTCCTTCTCTGGGCCATACGATGCAGTGACTCATATAGGTTGGCCCTGGGCCCATGTTTCCTTTCTTTGGGAAAGGACTAGGCATCAATCTCTTAAAAGGCAGAGAGCAAGAGCACAGCTACCAAATGTTGTTTCTTTTGTCTTTCAATAGGTCAAGGACTCAGGGGATTGCAAGGCCCCCCTGGGAAACTGGGCCCTCCAGGACCCCCAGGGGCCCCCGGAAAGAGTGGAGTAATGGGACCAAAAGGAGACCCAGGAGAATGTCCAGGTGAGGAAAACACCTCAGAGAGGTCTGAATTAAAAGAATTTAGGGTTATGGAACCCAGAGTACCAGGGGCAGGTGCTCCCTTCCTCTCTCCAATGCTTCCTGAGGAGATGTCCAGCTCTGGTGAAGCATAGAAAAACAGAAACTTCCAGGCCTCCGGAGTCTTAGAACACACATACTACCATTTTTCTTACATTGCATTGATCTCAAAAAGTTAAAAGCCCAGCCCAGATTCACTGGGTGTAGAAATGGGCTTCCTTTCTTAATGACAGAAGCTGCATCTCATGAAAGTCATGTTTGCCATCTCCTCTACCCACCTGGGCAGTGGGCAACTCACAAAAATCATGGCTTCTTGATTTACCTCTGAGCAAACTTGAGAAAAACAAAAATAAAACCAGAAAAATCAACAAAACCTCTTAAGGAAAAAATCTCTCATTCATTTTAGCCAACATTTACCAGCTCATAATTTCTCCAGAAATTTCTTTTCAGCCTTGATAAAGCATTTATTCCCCCCACAAATAGTGCAAACCTCGATCTATAGATCGCAATCAGGCTAGGTAAAAAAAAAGCCACATGTGGACGTGAGGTATATATGTATACCAAGTGTCTGGGTAGAGCCTCTTTTCCTGAAAATAAGACTTAGCTGGAAAATGATCAGCCTTGCAAACTAGAGACCAAAAATGCCAGCCCCAATCAGCCAGTCCTTGCCATGCCTGGCTTACCGAGTGGCCGCTGAGCAAGGGAATGGTGCTGGAGGCAAGGCAAGGACAGGCTGATTGGGGCTGGCACTTCCACACTTGATCCTCGCCAAAAGACCAGGAAGGGATCCTGGCATTTTCGGTTGCTGGTTTTTAATGCAGATTATTTTCTGGCTAGGTCTTATCTTTGAAGAAACATGGTAGTTAACAGGTGAAGACTGATGTTTTAGGATGGGTCAAATAGAGATTGTTTGCCCCTTCTTTTGCTTCTTAAGATTTTTTAATCTACCTTCAAAGTGTAAAATATCAATAGAAACAAAATTATTTTTATTTGAAAATAAATACTCCTGTCCTTTATGTGCACAGTTCTGGGACTCCATCTTAAAAAAATGATTCCTCACTCTGTTTTAATTTTCTAGTGTGTGATACTAGCCTGGCTGATAGAGACAAGGAAGCTCTGCGATCTGAACTGCAACAGATCAAAAAGTGTAAGCTTTCTCTCTTATTCTTTATGCAACTTAAAGTTCTGGAATGGTGGAAGGCAATGAGTATCAGCTAGGTACATGTGACTTTCTAGTACCTGGCTAGGTAATTTTCACATTCTTATCTCCTGAAACCCTCAGAATAAACTTTTAGTAGAAATGGAAGTGGGGGAAGTTCATTATTTGCACAAATGCACACAGCTAATATGTGGTTGTGGAAACAGTTTCTAAACTGAAGTCAGTCTGACCCCAGAGACCCTGCTCCTGAATTCCTGGATTTTTCTCACTGACAATGGCTCTATGCCCTTGTCTTATGCTGGTGTCCAGACCCAGAATTGGAACCAAACTTGTTCCTTCCGGCTGGGGCAAATATTCTCAGACCCCTTTGTTAGGTTCAAATTAACAGTGCAGTAGAACTCTGAATTCCAAATTATATGTGTTCTTCAATTCTCATCCAAAAGGATATAGGCTTTATATCATTCTAAGCTTTCATTTAATGGTTGCCAGGTAAATAAGAGACAATACATGAATTATAGCATTTGAATTTCAGGTAAAAAACAGATTTTTTTCAGGGGGCATAAGAATGCCCCAGAATTTCATGGGAGTATGTTTGAATGAAAAGATTCAGCCTTACCAAAGATTCAAATTTAATTGAGCATACTATGTTTTATCCAGCAACTCTGCTCTGGGAGCATTTACCCAGGGACATAACTCAGGTTATGCTTAAAGACACCCAGTGTCACCTACTCTCTCCCATTTTAGGGTTATTGTTCTCCACTAGCAAAAAGGTTGGGAAGAAGCTTTTCTTGAGCAGTGGCGAACAGGTGAGTTTTGACAAAGTGAAGGCTCTTTGTGCTCAATTCGGGGGCTTGGTGCCCACTCCCCAAAACGAGGATGAGAACAGGGCCATCAGAAGTGCCGCCCGGGAAAACCCGTTCCTGGGCATCACAGACCAGGAGAACGAAGGCCAGTTTGTGGACATGAAAGGAGCAAGACTGACCTACACAAACTGGAACCAGGGTGAGCCTAACGACGCCAGCCCTGGGGAGGACTGTGTGGTGGTCCTGTCAGATGGCAAGTGGAATGACATCCCCTGCTCCTCGGTGTGTGAGGCGGTCTGTGAGTTCTCTGTCTGAGGGAGAACCCGTCAGGTCCCTTTGTCCCAGAGGCCCACGCTCTGCTTGAAAAGATAAAACATAGCGGTGAACCCAGAGCCACTCCTGTGTTGCTCTTTTGTGGAGAAAGCAGAGGAGAATGGATGATGGGACTTGGAAGTGAGAAGAGAGAGAAGTCTGACGAGAGCTCAGTGCTTCAGTCTGAATCAATAAAAATGACTGTTAACAGTAAGAAATCAATATCAGTAGTGAAAGTGAAGTAGTAATACTAAGTATCTTGCAAATGTTTACTGTAAACGTGACCCTATATTTTATATCTTGCAATGATTACCTAAAGCTAATTAAACTATAATTATTTTGTTTTAGTCATGTTTACTTGCGAAGGCATTAAAATAAAATGTGCATATTTTTTCCACTGACTGAATACTTGTGTTCCCTTGAGACTTCTTTTCCTACTGGGTAGAAGGCTTTCAAGACAATGTCGTCATCCCAGCCTAACTCAATAACTACACAGCAAGCCTTGGGTATCCAAATGATCTGTTGTATAACTGTGTGAATTGCATTTCCTTTTAATGAGATATTAAGTTATATAATAACATAAATCTCAAATGAACAGAAATCACGATATAATGAATTCTCACACATGTGCACACTCTTGTAAGCACATTCTGGGTTAAGATACAGGACAGTTCTATGACTGGAACTCCTTAAAATGATATTTCCAAAGATAAATATTCTAACCTCTATCATCATAAGTTAATTCTCTTTATGACTTCCATGCAGATTGAGTCAAACAGTATGTACTGTTTTATGTCTTGCTTTTTTCACTCAAAATGAATTCCATGAGATTCATTCATGTTGGTACAGGTAGCGGTAGTTCATCCACTTTGCTATGGGCAATTTAATGGTATTCATACCCTTTAGTTCACCTATTTTATTGTTAATGGGTCCTTAAGTGGATTACAGGTTTTGGTCTTTAACAAAAATCCTCAAGAACATTTTTATAGTATACTTTTGGTAGGCGTGGTACACTAATTTCTCCTGGCTGTGTACTCAGAAGCAGAGTTGTTGGTTATAGGGAAAGCATTTATTTAGCTTCAGTAGATAGCACCAATTTTCCAAAGTGATCAACAAATTTATACTCCAAGCAGCACTACTGTGTTGATTGTTGATAAATATAAAAGTTTTTAATTTTAAGGAAGAGTTATTCACCTTCAAGATTAACGCTTTTGTGTTCTTATTTAAGAAATCATTGACTGTCCCCAAATCTTGAGGACATTCTCCCATTTTTTCCCTAAATCTTTATGTTAAATCTTTTATCTATCCCTAGCACATATCCACCTATGACAACACTGCTTGTTGGAAATATTATTCTTCCATTGAGTTACGGGGCACATTTATATAAATTAGGGGATTTTGTATGTGTGAGTCTCTTTCTGGGGTTTCCACTGTATTTTCTTGGTATAGTTGGTGAAGCATGTGCTGAAGACTACACTACAATTTTTGTGCATGTGTAGTAGGAAAGGACAACTGGCAGTGTAAGCCTTCCAGCTTTGCTTTTCTTTAAACTACAAGATTTTGAAATAAATTGTAGAACCAGGTTTTCAAATTTCCACAAAATCTGATGTGATTATTGTTAGGACAGCATTAACTCTATCCATCAATTTAGGTAAATTTGACAACTTCCTACAGAGTCTGAAATCCATGAGTGCAATGTATTACTTTACTTAGCTAGGATTTATTTAGATTTTGCTGATTTTGAAGTTTTGAGTTTAAAGAGCTCTTCAGTATCTTGATTCAGTGGTATGAATGGTTTTTAAATATAATATAATATTAATAATTTTACTTTTCTGCTGTTGTGTACAATTTGTGAGTACAATCTTATATTGAGAGACAATAACTGACACCAATAATTTAAACAAATTATCTGGGCTCGCTGTTCTTAGTAGTCTTATCCCAGGGTCAACTGTCTCCGAGGCAGAAATGGCACCATGCAAGGGCTTCTGGAGAGGGTCGCTGCTGTACAGCTCATGATAATCAGGAAGCAGAGGGGCTGGGGATTTAGCTCAGCGGCAAAGCGCCTGCCTGGCAAGCGCAAGGTCGTGAGTTCAGTTCCTGGTACCGGAGAAAAACCAAAAAAAAAAAAAAAAAAAATCAGGAAGCAGAGAGAGGAGGGCAGACCAGAGAGGAAGGTAAATCCTCCAGGCCCTGCCGGGTGTGACCTGACTCTATTGAACTGGCTCCCCTTTCTAACAGCACATTCAACTATGGATTCTTCAGTGATTAATTACATGTTAAGAGTAATGGGATCCACTCATCTGTCAAGTGCCTGATCTCTGAACACATGAAGGGAAATTTCTCAGTTGAAACAATAACAGGGGACATGCTTGGCCTTCTGTCAAATCACAGCTTGGTAGATCCACTCAACAGGCAAGGCCTTGAAGCAGGATGCTGTCAAAGACATGGGGATGTGAGGTTAAAATTTCACTGTGAAGAGAGAGGGATGCTGGGATGGGCTCATCCATCTGGATAAAGAATGTGAAGGCCACAGTGGCCCAAGTGGTGAGGGGAAGGGTGAGTCACAAACTGACCCATGTCCTTGTTCCCTGAGTGTTTGTCAATATACCCAACCTTCTTGGGACAATAAAGATGGGTACATTGGAGGATGGAGAATCTCATTTCACAGACTGCTTGCTCAACTTAATCCAGACATTAGGCAGTATTTAAAGAAAAGTTTATTACAACCACAAAATGAATTTCACCTTTCTCTCATAACACTGTTAGAAATGTTAACAAAGGAAAGTATTTTTCTATTGCAGAAGTCTCTGTGAGCTAAATTGCTCTCATAATATTGTGTTATTTAAAAAGTACTAGGCTGACTCATCAAATAAAAGCCTACTACCAGCATTTTCTAGAATGTATAATATAATGAGGATAACATGAAGCATCTTGATTTTTCAAATAGATACTGAAATGTACAACATGGTGATTATCCAAGATGAGAGAAAGTAAAACCCCTTGAAGATAGTGACCTCTAATATATATATGTGTATATGATAAAAATATGTATGATAAAATAAGAGATCTAACAACTGAAATTGAAAATCATTGTGGAACTTCGGGATTTAGAATACTAGGCCTCGTGCATCCTATGCTACCACTGAGCTCCACATCCACCCTTTGCCTGCACTTAGGAAGACTTTCATGCTTTGTACACTGATGATATTCATATGTGTTAAGAAACACTGTCGCATTCTTTGCTGGTAGTCTTGCTTATCAACATTTTGAGGATATTTGGTTTCTATTTTGCTTGCTTCTGTACACCACGTAATAATGCTTGGTTAGATCTTGGAAATTCTAAACAATATATACCGATAGCTCTGTACACTGGCTCTGGTGGAGTCAGGGACAGAGTGCTTGCCTAGCATGCAGGAAACCCTGGGTCCAAACTGCAGTACTGTAAAAGTAAGTAAAAATGGAAAATGGAAATTATATAGGACCTCCATCTCAGACAGCTGATATTCTTTGCCTTTCTTTTTCTTGATGATGTTTTTGATAAAATCTCAAAGGCCTGATAGTGCTCAGCACAATATGGCAGATGCAGGGTGCCCACAGAATCCTGGGTGGACAGGCAGGATTGCACCGGCCTTTCTCTGGTTCAGTGGCCTTGTGCTTTGGGCTGTAGCTCTGTGAGGTGTGCAACATTCTTCACCTGGAAGAGGAAAGGGACGGCTTAGTCTTGTTGCAGATACCACACCCTCACCCTCTTACAAAATTTACATTTTTCTCCCACCCTCTCTGCCTCTTTCCTTCCTTCCTTCTTTCTTTCCTTGCTTCCTTCCCTCTCTGCCTGCCTTTCTTCCTGCCTGCCTGCCTCTGGCAGTGGAGGAGGAGGGGACTGCTCCCATTAAAGGTCACTGTTGAGCCATGGTGGAATCTAGGAGGGAGATGTCTCTGTGGAAGGACCAGCCACCTGGTGAGGGCCTCTTCGGGCCCCACTCCTCAGAGCACTTGCTTCTCTGTATTCCAGAGATGATCACAACCCCCACACTGGGTTTGAGTGGCAGAGGGATGAGTGAGCTGAGCCTTTCGCAAACTGATACATCACTTGTCAGGGACAAAGAAAGTGAAAGAAAAACAGGCCCAGGCCATGGGCTCCAACACTGGCTTCTGTGCCCCACCTTGGGTCAGGGCCAAAGGGCGCCCAGAGGCCAACTTGGCACAGGTACAAGGAATAATTGAGCCCAGTGCAGGGGGGTCCTTCAGTGGGGTTAAGGCAGCTTCCTACAAGGCCCTGCCATGACCATCACCTCTGTCCCCAGCTGTCTCCCACTAGTTCCTGGAGCTCACTTCCTACAGGTCCCCAGGACCAGTGCCACCACTGGGTCCCTGCTGTCTTCTTGTTACACCCTCTTTCAGTCCCAGGACCTTCACCTGCTCCATCCTTGGCCAGTCAGAGCCCGCTGCCACAGTGGACCACTGTCCCCACCTCAGGACCTCACTCATTCATTCCCTTTTTTTATTTTCTTTTCCTTACTGAAAATTGAACACAAGTACATCACACAGAGTTACTGCCTCAGCTGTTTTGTATATGATGGTTGAGTATCTCTAAGTAATGCTGGCTTGGACTTGCCCTTGGCCTCCTGTTGACTCCACCTCCTAGAGTGCCGGATATCAAGCATCCTGCACCATGCCCACCCTGTGCCTCAGCCCTCATGTGTTTCTGTAATATGGAGTCTTACTTACTTGAAAACAACAACGAAGAGAAGACCAAGTTGAGGTATTTGTCTTAGTTACTTTTCTCTCCTTGCTGAGACAAAATACCCAATGCCCAAAATGAAGGAAGGAAAGGTTTATTTAGCTTACAGTTTGTGGAGGTTTCAGTCCATACTTGGCTGGATCTGGGGCAGAGTGGCACATGGCAGAGGGCAAACATTCATGGCAGCAGAACACAGCAAAGCAACAAGAGCAAAGGGGGGAATGGCAGCCGAACAGCAAAGCAGCCAGAGCAAAAGGGAGGAATGGCGGCAAGCAGCCTCTTTGCCTCCCTTACATTGTAAACAGGCTACCCCCACCTAAGGGGCGTGTAGCTCTCACATAATCTCCATGCCTTCCTCTTCCACAGGCTCAGGATGTATACACAGTAAGCACCCTGGCTTCCTGCTGAGTCACTTAGCCAAATCTCTAGACTCCCCAAGTTGACACAACGTATCAACCATAACAGTATTTTTTACCAGAGAGTCCATGAGAAGGATAGGGAGTGTTTTGGGGTACATCAGTGCCTGTAGTAGTTCTCTTGCCTTTTGAAGTTTCTTGAATCCATAGGTGTCTGAAGTATATGTTACTAGGCAACTAGTGTTCATTTTGTATGCGTGCAAATCACAAATAAAGCATCTGGAAATTTTGACCCTTTGGGTCAGACCTAGCAGTAAAAGCCCTCTCTAGTGGCTATTCAGCCTGAAAATTGCAAGTCCCGTACTGGTGTGGTTCATTTAGCAAGACCTTGTCTCAAAAGCAAACAAACAGAAGGGGCAAGAGTGGGGACAGAAAGGGGATGAAAGAAGGAATTTAGATGTGCTATGTGCCTGGACCAACTCCACCAAATGAAAGTTTTTTTTGTTTTTTTTGTTTTTTTTGTTTTTTTACTGCAAAACCTCCGCCTCTGAACAAGTGAGGGGACATCTTTAGGGGACATTATATAAACCATAACAAAATTGTATTTCAAGATAATTCAGTAGATTTATAGCTCCTCACCTTCATGGCTTATCATTTCCTTACCTTCAGAACCTCCTCCCTCTTGATATAAGTCAAAATCTGTGTTGTACTTTGTGTTTAGATGTCTCCCCGAAGCCTCATACATTCATGGGGCCATGTTTTTCAGAGGTGGCTGAATCTAGAGTTTGTGTTTGATTCATGGTCCAATGTTGAGATTAAGGGTGTGAGTGCTACACTTGCCCTAGGGTGGGTAGCCTGCATACAATGTAAGAGACAGAAAGAAGCTTGCACCTCCTCTCCTTTGCTTGCTTTTGCTGTTTTCCACCATGAAAGTTGTTACCCTGCCACCCTGCCTTGTAGTCACTAGGTTATGGAATGAAACCTCTACAAACTTGAGCTAAGTAAATCTTTCCCCTTTTAACTTTGGATGTTGGGTATTTTGTCTCAGTGATGAGAAAAGTAATCAAGACAATGTGCTTAACAGATAAAAATCCAAAATACTCTCTTTCAGGTGGTGCTCTTCAGTCATTTCCTTTTCTCTCTCCTCACAGTGTTGATCTGTCCTTTCTTTGCAGGCAGTTTTGGTCTGGATCACTTTGTGGTGATCTCTCAGGTGAACAGTTCTCATTCCCTTAGCAATATTTTTGCAACATGGATCTTCGTCTTGATATTGAGTGAGTATTTAAATGGAACACAGCATTGCAACATTCTTGCATTTCTCCTTGGATAGTTTGATCTGGTTAACAACATAATCTTCATTCTAATTCTTATTCTAACCTCCCAACTATGTCCTTTCTTCCCAGAAAAGTTTCCAGTTCTTTTATCCTGAGTCATTCTTGCTGAGGACAAAGGAACTGACTCTACAGACAGGCCATAAAGACTATTATGAAGAGCTTGGGTCTCTTTCAGCTGTTGGTAGAATTTTTTAAGCATATTTTAGTTTCTTGTACTTGTGTTTCATTGGCTTTCTCATCTTGGTCTAGATACTGGATCTTTTTACTGTCAGACCCATCAGCTGTTCTTGGTCTTAATGCTAATACTTTTCTTTTGTCCTATGTTTCACCATATACATATAATATTCCTCTTGACAGGACTGTACATATCCAAATCATCAGTCACAGTGTTTATCTCCTCCAACCTAAACTGAAACTCATTAAGCACATTATATTTTACAACAGCTGAAGCTGACCCCATCCTGGCAGGTTCCATGCCTTCCTGCAAAGAAAGGTTTTATTTGAGTAATTGAAAATGTTGTCTAAAAGCAAGAGAACTGTGAACGCTTGAGCTATCACAACACATTCTATCATCTCTCACGATATCCAGGCACACTGAGATACTGTTTTACATCATTAGGGCTTTTGACATCATCTGCTCCAGTGACACCTGATTTGGTGAAAGTACACAGCCTCTGCAGGGTGAAAATCCTGTCTTTCCCATTCTGATTGTAGGAGCCTACAGCCCCCATGCTTAATCACAATGCACTTCACCATGAAGACTGCTCTGAGTTCTTCCTGGAACCAGTGTGCGCCAGCCATGAGTCAAGCTGGAAGGCCCAATGTGATAAAGACTTCACACACTTTCCACCCTACCCTCAAGTCTCTCTTCAAAAGAAGTAAGTACTCGGTTTCTTTTTTTAACCCTACACTCACTTTTTATTTCATAAAGATATGAAATAATGGGAAAAAAAGAAAACCTTAAACCTCCTTTTGGAGCCAGTATGAAGAACAGTAACCCTAAACCTGGAAAAATCCGAAGGGAGGAGCTGAAGGCCTTAGGAGGTACCCCCTGGCCACCCAGCAGAAAAAGTGTGGGACACCTCTGTCTATCCCCTGCTAGCTGCCTGTGGAACTACAAGAGGCCTCTGTCGATGGGCATAGAAATGTCAAAGATCTTTTTCAGGAGAATGTAACATTTAACATGCAACATGAGGGGCACAGAAGAAAAACAGCAAGTTTAAGGAGAGGATACAGTTAAAGCAAATGTTCAGGAAAGAGAATGTTGTGGTTTGTGTCTAGATGGCCCCCTAGACCCTCATGCAATCTTAGATGTGGCTTTTTTCAGAGGTGGATGAATCAGAAGTGTGAGATTCTGGGATTAAGGGTGTGTGATTAGTAAATCAGTCCACTGATTGGTTTGGTTTAGTCCTAAGATTAAAGGTGTGAGTGCTACACTTGCCCCAGGGTGGGTAGTCTGCACAAAATATAAGGGGCAGAAAGAGTTTTGTCTCCCCACCTGTTGCTTTGCTACAGTTTGCCTGCCATGAACTGTTCTCTGCCAAGCCACCTGCCTTGGATCCAGCTGATTATGGAGTGAAACCTCTACAAAATGTGAGCCAAATAAACTTTTTCTCCCTTTTTTCTGTGGTCTATTGGATTACTTGCCCTTCCTATTGTCCCACCCCTCTCTTGTACCTTTTTTTTTTTTATTCCTCCCATAACTCCTTCTTCCAGAAAATTCTATGCTTGGTTCTATGACCATTTTGTGTCGGGTGTAGCTGCAATCTTTCCTCCTTATTTTGAGACATGCTGTGTTGACCAGGCCATCTAATGAAAGAGGTGGAGTGTTAAAGATTTTGATTCACGAGTAGACATCTGTGATCGGTGTGAATTTGGACAAACCACTTACTCTATTATGAAATAACATTTCCAATCCAATATGGCTTCCCCAGGGATATTATGAGGAGGATAAAGTGAAAAAGCGAACGTTAATGAAAGAGGTGCAACACACTTCTCTTATAGTGAAGCAAAGGTGATTTTTAAAGTTCTTTTTGGCATGTGTTGCATCAAGGGAGACCAACAACAGGGGGAGCCTGGGAATTCTTAGCAGCAGTTTGTCAGGAGGGGTTTGTGTGGAATTTGGGCTTCTGCCTTGTGCTTTTGAAAAGGATTTGAGTCAGTGAGAATCTGGCCTAGTCAGCGAGAATCTGGCCTAGAATCTGGTCAGAAAGCAGGAGTTGTACCACAACTGGATATCTTAACTTTTTCCTACCACCAGGGAGGAACCTAGCCAGTGGAGGGCATGTTAGCCACTTTTACTTTTGTGTGTGACATTAGGGCTTGACCTTAGGACCTATGCCTTGAACTACATCCCTAGCACCTTTCCCCTTGTTTTGAGACAGGGTCTTGCTAAGTCTCTAAATTGCCTGGACTGAGTTTGTACTTGCTATCCATTTTTGTGGGATATTTTGGGTTTTTTTTTTTTTTTTTTTTTTGCATTTTTGTAGGGTTTAAAGCAGAATGACTTTTCTTTTCTACGCTCAGACATGATGCACAAGTAGTTGAGATTTTCTCTGTAAAAGAATTGGCATTACAAACACACCCATAAACAATATTTTATAGACAGTTGTTTCTAGCTTTTGACATGAAGACCATATTGGACTAATTAATGAATTGGGGAGTATATCTATTATTCTTTTCTGAATGAGTTTATGTACTGTTATTCAGTGCACATCTTCCTTAATGCTTAATAGAATTGACCAGCAAAACCATCTATGCCTGGAGTTTCCTTTGGTGCAAATTTTGATAAGACATTCATTTTCTTTGGTGTATTGAAGCCTATTTACAATTTTCTATTCACTATTGTGCAATTTTCATTGCAGTTTATTTTGCAAGAAAACTAACTTGGCAAATTTTTTGACATAAAGTTTATAGCCATCTCTTAGTATGCTTTGGGGATTTAGGCCAAACAGTCATTTGATGATAGCTGTTTTATTACTGATTTTGTTAATTCTGGCTCTGTTCGACTCAGAGACTCTAATAGACATTAATAAATAGGTACCAATTTTTAATTTAAGATTATAAGCAGTGAGTTATCAAAATAGGTTTGGCATTACAAACACATCCATGAACAATATTTTTATGGAAAGTTGAAACTGAACTGAAACTATAATTCAAGAATGTTATCATACAAATTTTAAAACAATATGTGCCGATATTGGTCAAATGGAAGGAACAATTCCTTTTGTGAGCCTTTTTTACAGATAATTCCACATATCAGCAGAATAATATTTATTGTTTTTATGTCTTAGTGCTTTTATTTGGAATAAAAATATCACATGAGCCATAAAGCGAGCTTGTTGCTGCACAAAGTCCTTAAGAATGAAAAAAATCAGATGTAAGCACAGAAAACATTTCTTTTTAATCCCTATTACACTGTTTGACTATGCTGTCATACCTTGACGTCATTTCATTACCATGATTTGCAATGAATGATAGCAGGAAAAATCGAGGAAGCCGTGTCTTCCCTTTGTGGTGACGCTTTTTGTCGAGACAGCAGAGGGCGTGCTTCTATTAAAATATCACTTGTAACACTCAAATCTAAAAGTAAGCATTTGTTTTTGAGCTAAAAAATGTTTACTGGGCAAAGTAAAATGAATTTCAATAACATTGTTATGCTTAAGATTTATTTCAAACTTAGTTTCCTAATAAAGGTATTTCTTAAATAACAGTAGTATTATTCCTGTTCATTCAATCATCTTTGAAAATATAAGAACTACAGACCTTCCAAAAAAAAAAAATCTGTCCACATGTGAATAGAATTTAGAGGAACATTCAAAAATCAATTGCATTATTTCTAAGATCTGCCAAATAATTTTGTGGAGCCAGATTAAAGGACTTTTTTTCTTATGGAAATTTGGAACCTAGAGAAAATACCATGATGAGAGCAACACCTTCTGTGAATTCTCTGCTACCATCTCTCTGTTGCTCCACCTTTCAACTGATTTAAATTCGGTTCATATCATATCATCACAGTAAACCCAGTGGAAATTACAAACGTATTTCAAAAATCACTTTTTCTTAAACATCACAAACAGTGCCATTGTATCATCTTTACATGATTTAACAATAATTCCCTAATGTTATCAAAAACAAGTCATTACTTTCTCATATTCTTTCTTACTTATTAGTTCAGTGTATGTAGAAAATCTGTACCCATCACATTTGATCATCGTGTCTCTGGAGTTGTTTTCAATTTACAGGCCACTTTTTTTCCTGCTCTACTTGTCTTTTTTGTTTTAAGGAATTGGGTTCATATTATTGTCTCTTGTTCCTCCTGGTGTGGTCCATAGCAACTCCAGGGAGTTCATTATAAAGAATTCAAGGCCCATTCCATTCTATTCGATGTGAATCTATCTTTAAACAAGATCTTTAGGTAATGTACATGCATGTGAAATTTTGAGGTGCTTTCCTGTACACTATCATGGCCTGACTTATGCAGATTAAAACTTCATGAAGTCATTTGTCATGTTCTGTTGCCTGCATTTCTTGCTAATTGTAATTAATTCTAGTCTACGATTCAAGTTTAATTTTCTGCCAGAACTATTACCTAAGTCTTTCACATGTTTTATTTTGCTGGAAAAACATATGTTTCTTCTCCTTTTATGGTATTATCAGCTGTTTATAACTATTACCTTTTCTAGTAATTTATTTGTTTACAAAATGATGGTACACTAACTTTATCATGCATTAACTGAAATTTTCTAAGGATAACTAGTCACTTCTGCTATTGTATTTGAGATAAAATTCATACAGAAATTATAGGTTAAACAAACATTTAACATATTCACATATGAACATCACACACTTTTCAGGGGCCCGTGCACCCATCTGTGCAGGTGCCTGGGGAGTCAGGCAGGCCGCAGGTGCCTGTTCTGGGAGTCTGCACGGCTGGGGAGCACCGGCCCTTCAAGGCCCAGCACAACTGGCCACGCAGGCACCCAGAAAGGCTGGCAGCAGGCACCTGGGAAGCGGCGCGGAGACGTGCACCGGCCCTCAGGCAGGCCTCTGCTGCGCAGTCAAGAAACGCCATGCCACAGAGAAGCACTGACACAATAGGCCTGCCTGGAGACATGCATGAACCATTCCCAAATAGAGAAACCTCCAGGGAAAGATGACACATGGTGGGTCACTCTTAGCCCTACCCTCGAGAGCCAGAAAGGTCCAGAGTCAGAAGAGGAGCAGCTGATGAACAAGGACTCAGAGAACACGAGAGTACCGATGCCCGACGACTCAGACGTAGAGCTGACTGGGGACGTGGGAGCCATTCGGGAGCTGGAAACCAGGAGGACCTTGTGCAATCCCTGGGGAGACCACTCTGGAGGCCATTCTTTTCCTAACTGACAGGCTGCAGTGAAGGAGCGAGTGGAGCTCCAGAGAGGTCTGCACTGAGACTTCATGGATTACATGGGTGCCCAATATTCAGATTCTGTAGAACTGCTTTCATGGAGGAGGTAGTTGTCTAGGTTTCCTGCCTGGGACACTTTGCATCTGATAGTCCTGAGACTGACTAGTGGGTCGAGGACTTCATCCACATGTTCCTGCCGCCTGTGTTGATGGCTGGGGAGAGGACACTAAGTGTTTGTGGGATCCCAATGTGCTGGGAGGCTGGACAGAACACCCCTCTGCTTTCTTATACAAGAGGTATTGATAAAGCATACTTCCCTGGATCCAAGCTCAGTAGAGGGACAAACTATTCTTAAAGATAAGTTTATTACTCAGTCAGCCCCAAATTGTAGAAAAAAGCTACAAAAAATGGCTTTTGCCCCAGATAGCTCACTTGAGATGTTAGTAAGAATTGCCTCCTCCTTTTATAGCCATGAGGAGGAGAAGACCAAGGAGAGAAAACAAAAAGACCAAGAAAAAAAAGCTGCCTTTGTTGCAGCACTAAGAGAGACAGACCCTAAGTCTGATTCTCAGGGCCCCAAGAAGTACTCATCAACTACATTCATCTGTTACAGCTGTCAAAAGCCAGGCCATCTCAAGGGGGAGTGCCCTAAGAAGCCCCCTGGGCCATACCCTGACTGTAAAGGTGACCACTAGAGGTCAGATGGCCTTCTGAAGCGAAAGACCCAGAGCTCAGATCCCTCCTACCAGCTGGTCCAACAGGAATGAAGGGGCCCAGGGCATACTCTGGCTTCTCCCTCCAGCCAGACCATTATCTTCAAGGAGGAGCCCCATGTAATCATGACTATAGAGGAAAAAGTAGACAGCCTATTGCTGGACACTAGTGCTAGTCTCTTGGTCCTTCTTTTCAATCCTGACCTTCCTTCCAGCCGTCACACCTCAGTGAAAGGAGTCACTGATGAGGAGGTAATCCGCTATTTTTCACAACCCTTAGGCTATAACTACTTGTTAGATCTTTCTTGCATATCTTTGTTTTCCTGAGAAACCACTTTGAAGATACCAACATGCATTACACAGCCATCGATAATTTCCTACCAATCTGTCCATAACTGTAATGTTTCTATTGTTCCTATGCTATTTTGTAAGTGGATGTATGTTTATTACT